GACTAAGTAAAAAAGTACTACGTATATAATCACAAACAATTACCTTTTTTTATTTTATTAAAGTACTTCATTAAAAATGATTTTTTTTGTATGTGAAAGACTTATAATATTTACTGAAAGTCTACAAAATTTGTGAAGATATACCTACTATATTAAAAGTTAGTAGTATAAAACTATAAAGACTTTAAACAAGTACAAAGAGGTCACATGGTCAGTCAAATTGATTGAGCCTGTGTTGAGAGAGTTATTAATGTGTATTTGTCCCTTTAAATCTTATCAACAGCCAATTTGGCTGGCTTTTAAAAAATACCAGAAATAGCTGATTATATTACGAGAAGTGCTTATGGCTGTTTCAATACAACTGGGTAATTCTTAAGAATTTAGTTATTTGTTTAGTTTTAACGTTATTTACGTAATGCCAATCAAAAACAGATTGCAAACTTCTTTATTTTTCCAAGTTGTGGGGAATAGAAAATCAGTTTCTAAAACCTTTAAATGAATAAAAAAAATAATTATTTACTACAGCCATACTTCATTCTATATAAATCATACTGCTGTATCTTTAGTGCTAATATTGTAATCAGTAGAAATTGTGCTTGTTGGCATCTTTACAGTTTTACTTCTAACAACAAGTAACTAAGAAACCTGTATTAATTAACAACCTAAATTATGTGTTTTCATACAGACTCAAGTGAGTTTAATTGAAAATAGAAAACAATTCATTAAAAGATATTAAGTATTAGGTTCAGTCATTTGATGAGCTCTATGCAGTGATGAGCATTATTTGTAAAATCAACTCAACTATTAACTGAGGCAATAAACAAAGGACAATACATTATAACTCTGCATCTGAAGCAAACAAAGTACTTGTAAATTAAAATAATTTAAGAACAAATTTTCTTTAATTAAAAATTATACACCACAGGCCTTCAGAAAAGTATTCATCCCCAACTATGTCTACTATGCTTTCTGAAGAGAGCACTTCAAACAGATTAAACAAATTCACAAAAAAAATGTATACATTGATGGATGTAATCCTTTGAAAAATTATGCCTTATAGGCATAATAACAAATAAAAATTAATTTTCTTGAGTCAATCAAGTCTTTCCTTTTCTATAATTGTTTCAAAAAAATGTATACTATTCTTTAAACAAAAATCCATAAATATAAACTATTAGATCTCCAGTCCTGCCTTTAACATAGTTTAATATTTTGCCTGCCTATAGACCAATGAAAATATTTTTAGCAAGAAAATTCTCATTTGGACTTAGCTAGAGTGAGAGGTCTTAAACAACAAACAGAATTATAATAAATTTCAAAAAATGAAATCCAGAATCGATTTTTATAACAACCTAAATTTAATCCCATTATTGTATATTATAATACCCAGTTTTTGTCAGTCCTGAAAATGCACACACACCTTACTACCTAAATGTGCATGCACTTCATTTCAACAGATGTAAACAGAAGGAAGGTGTAAATATACTTTAGTAAACATTTTGTACAACAACTGTTAAAAGCTTAAAAAAGTCTATCATTATGTCGTAGAATAACATTACAAGTTTATTTATTGATAATATTAAGCACAGTAAAGTTTAGCCCTAACTAAACTAAAGCAATAAAAGGTACACAAGTTACAGTGTTAAATTATTATTTTATTGAATATAGGTTGTACTTAATAAAGCCTTAACTAATTAGGCCTAAGACAAGTGGACTTAAAGAATTTGATGTCTGTGATTAGAATTATTCTTGAAATCTGTATTTAAAGAAGCATTGTTGCAATGATACTAATTTGACTGCAAAAGTTCCTGCAACTTTTACCCAATAAACATAATTGTGTACCTATAATGATATTTCTTATAAGTATAATAAAACAATGACACATACACACACACACCAAGTTATGTAATCAGTAAATTTATTTTAATAATTTGGTTGTCACTAAATTTTTATGAAAGATTATTTGAGTTGTTACCCTTTTCTCCGAGGTTGACAGTTTGACTGGTCTGGAAGTTGCTGACTGAGCTATGTTATGATTTCCATGTGACTCTTGTTTACTGCCTAGTGGTACAATTTGAGACTCCATACAAGTATCCAAGGCAGAAGACACTGCTGAAATAATTAAAAAAAGAACAAGACAACTCTACAACACTGAATTGCTTGAAATATATATATCATTTTCTTGCAAATAGTGTTATAAAAAATACTAAAGTCTACAAATATTTCTACAGTGTTACACATCTAATATTAGATTATCATTTAAGAAACCAGTTTCTGTTTTTTAATAAAGCTGTTGCACAGAAAATAAGAGTATTATATCAATCAAATGGTATTTAAACAGTTCAATTGGTCAGGCAGATGGAGATTGTTTAAGAGTGCCACTGGAAATGGTACTGGTAGGGTGCCAGGCTAAGGAGGTACATTGTAATTTTTGATCAGTAGTTCTATATGGTTCTCACCAATGTTGAGGTCTGCTCCTTCTTCTAGAAGAATATGAAGTTCATAAAGCTGCATGTGAATGAGTCAAATGTATACTTGTCATACTAGTGTGTGAAAGCCAGCCTCTATGACTATCCCTGAGATGCTGAATATGCAGCAGTCTTGAACCTAAGTAACATACTTTTAAAAGCACATGCTCTAGGAGCTCAAGTATGATAAGAGGTAATATTCTCTGTTTCTGTAAGCTGGCATGAGTAACAGAGAAAAGTACTGCTGTATTATATGACACCAAATTGTTACAGATACCAAAAAATAGAACACTCAAAATGTTTGAACTGGATTAATTAATAAATAATATATACTACCAAAAAAATACAGAAACTAAACCTGAAATATATTTGGAATATTTGTTCAGATCACATAAATATTAAAAACACAGTAAAGAAAACAACTGCTTAGAAAAGCCTTGACAATAAAAAGCAAATCAGAGTACAAAAAGCCTTTGATGTGGAAAGAAAAATTAATGATGACAATGCCTGGCTTACAAAAAAGCTAAAGTCTTAAAAGATTTACTAATAGAGAAGCACAACAAAACTGCAGCCGACATAGTGAGGGTACTCCAGTTACACATTTTATAATTAAGGAGAGTAAATATCAATGAACAGGTAAGATGGCATTTACTTTTTTCTTCTTCTCTTTATTATATATATATAATAGATGTTTTCCAACACAGAAAAAAGGATGTTTATTTCAAATGTGTGTGTGTGTGTGTTGGCAAAATGTTTTTTGAATATTGTTTTCCAATAATTTAATACAATTTCACTTAAAATCTTTAAGAGAATTATCTATGGGATTTTGAGTCTGTTTTACTTCACCATATAGTAACCTAAACTAATTTAGGTATGTGAATAGTGTTATGTGATTTCATGAAATTCATTATTCAATATTGTACAGTGGATCAACTGTTTAATGATTTCATATATATGTTAAATATTTCTTTTCTTTTTCACCACAGGTGAAATTGAAAATATAATCTGTGATGTAGAGGCATTCTTCAATTGGCTGTACCCTAAGCTGAGGGCTGCAGTTTTGCCTATTCAAGGCTCATCAGCACAGTTTAGGTCAGCAAATCAAAGAAATACTATTAGGTCTCTTATAATGGTGAAGTGTATATAAATATATATGTGTGTGTGTGTGTGGTTTTGCTATCCATTTTACTCCACCATAAGGTTGTTTTATTTTTCACACATTTTCAAGTTAAACTTTTCATTCTAAATGATGTAGTGCACAAAAGCTTTATAAATATATTACATTTCCAGTGCAGAGAACAATTAAAATATTTGAAGGAAAAGATTAGGTGATTCTTTGAGAAAGATAACTCAATGTCACTGAAGAAAAGGTCTACCGTATCATTCTATAATTTTCCAAGTAACTTCTGCAAATTTAACCACATTTTTTATCTTAACCTAAAATAATAATAATTTTCCTAACCAGTCTCTTTTAAATGAAGGTTTGATATATCAGTAGTCATATCCAGGAGCTGAGAAGGTAAAATTCCACAAGCTCCAGTACCATTTGACTGATGATGACCAAACTGATCCATTTCATTGTTTTGTATGGACAAAAATGATTTCTGTGGGCTCTGGGGTGTGTTTCCAAAAGCAGCTTGCCACTGATGAGAAAAGCTGTCTTCATTTTCAGAAGAATTTGGAATAAGAGGTAAGCTGTCTTTGGAAGCATTTAAGATTTCATTCAGAAGTGTCAGGTCATCTTTTTCACTATCTTCTATTTCTGGGTTGTCAGTCAAAAAGTCTTTTTGCCCTGGAAACAGTAAGATACATTTACAATTTAAATTTCTTTTGCAAAAAACTTTGTCAAATTAATCATTCAAAAGATAATGTTGTACTCAAACTGTGAAACAATATATAAGACAGCAAATAAAATAGTTTTTTTTTTACATTTTTTTTCCACACAAATGCATCATATCTTGATATTCTTTTCCATCACACTTTAAGATTGATTAACATGAAAATATTTAAACTTTAAAAGTAGAATCTCCAGTGCAAGACACAGTTATTAAAAATAACACAATACTTGAGTTATATTTTTACATACATCCTTTAGCTGCTTTGATTTCTTTAGCAGACTCGGTCTGATGAGAATGTATTGACTGAGCATGTGTATGAGTTTCTTCAGACAGTTTCAGTAAAGGCATATTACTATCAGTATTTTCTGTAGAATCAATTCCTGATAATTCCTGACTGGAAGAAAATTTATGATTTTTTTCCGGTGGCATTACTTCTTTTTTTGGTGAAGACAACAAGCCTTGAAGATTAGAATGTTTCTTCTGTAAATTCTTTGAAATTTCTTTATTTTCCTCCTCTTCATCATGATATTCAGACTCAAAGAAAAGTAACCTGAAAATACATTGAATAATTCTAGTTGCAAATAAAGTGACAATTATGCTTTAATGATGCAGACTAACAAAGGAAAGACACACTGTTATCAACCATACTGAATCACTGATAAGTCTATTTGTGCCAAGCTATACAAAGATCTGATCAGAGCCATACCTAATTTTGAACTGCTAGACTAGAACGAAGGCAGCTAGTCAACAATATTTGCAAATCATAATTGAATGGTTCGTTGTTTTTAATCACAAAACTACACAATGAGCTATCTGTACTCTAACCACAAAAAGTATCAAAACCTGATTTTTAGCATTATAAGCCCTTAGACTTACCACTGAGCAACTAGAGGGGGGGGTGAATAAGTAGTAGAATTTGAATGTCACTCTTCTCTTCTAGTTCAACTAAAGTTCCAAACTGTGAAGCAAATTTTTGTGGTAATGGGTCATAAACCATAAACCTCCAGGTTAACAGTCCAGCACACTAACACAACTAGAGAATCCCAGGTCATAACTAATAATAGTTATAATTAAAGTTTGAAATGGTAAGTTGTTTTAACACAACATAATCCCCTTAACTTGGAAAGAAGTTTAATGTGTACAACAATAAGAATATCAAATGATAAGTTTTTTTCTTTAACAACATATACAGTAAAACCTTGTTAATTCAAACCCATTTGCAATGTGATATTTCTTCTCGATTAATGAGACATCTAGGTAGAAAAATCAGTCACTTTGAATACACTGAACACTGTTACTGGCATAATCTATTGATAAATAAATGTAAGGGCACAAAACTAGTTAAGGTGGGTATAAACCATGTTCACAATAAGAAACTCTATGAACATAACAATTAACAATTATTACTGTATATGTTATCAATAATTACACAAATTGCATTATCAATGAGCCATATTATGTCATTATCTCCACACAAATCATCATTTTGTACAAACAACTTCCTACAAATGGTAGTTTTACTAACAATCTATTAAGCAACTCATCCAGAGGGTTTAACCTCACATACAGTAAATATGGGCTTTAAACCTGGGTGTATCTGCAATATTTGTAGATACAAACAGGGGATACAGCTGGTTAAAATCTCTAACAAGTTACATATTGTTCTAAACACTGTTAATTCTACTATGAGTAGAGCTTGGTATTTTAATCAATTAATAAAACTGATTGCCTATGAGTAACAATGATATTACTTGGTGTCACTTCAGTTAGTCAATTAATGAAAATTAAGTATTCCTGATTATTACTGTTTTTGATTATACCAACAATCATTTAAACAAAATTATCATTAAATCAACTGTCCTGGAAATAATCAACTAATCAAAATTATCATTAAATCAGCTGTCCTGGAAATAATCAACTAATCAAAATTATCATTAAATCAGCTGTCCTGGAAATAATCAACTAATCAAAATTATCATTAAATCAGCTGTCCTGGAAATAATCAACTAATCAAAATTATCATTAAATC